CAAAAAGCAACGTCGCTATGGACGCTTGGCTGCCACAAGCCAGTTATCCCTGTGGTAACTTTTCTGACACCTCTTGCTAGAAACCTTCTAAGAAATTCAAAAGGATCGATAGGCCACGCTTTCGCGGTCTGTATTCGTACTGGAAATCAAGATCAAGCGAGCTTTTGCCCTTTTACTCTACGAGAGGTTTCCGTCCTCTCTGAGCTAGCCTTAGGACACCTGCGTTACGTTTTGACAGATGTACCGCCCCAGTCAAACTCCCCGCCTGACACTGTCTTCGGTGCGAGTCGTTAAACCACCGAGTAGTTTAACTTAAATCAAAAATTTCGAAACACATATAATGCTTCAATTCTCGTTTTACCGAATAAGTAAAGAATCGATGAAAGTAGTGGTATTTCACTGTTGGTATTTGTACAAGAATACAAAAACCTCCCACTTATGCTACACCTCTCATGACTCTTCACAGAGTCGGACTAGAGTCAAGCTCAACAGGGTCTTCTTTCCCCGCTGTGTTTGCCAAGCCCGTTCCCTTGGCTGTGGTTTCGCTAGATAGTAGATAGGGACAGTGGGAATCTCGTTAATCCATTCATGCGCGTCACGAATTAGATGACGAGGCATTTGGCTACCTTAAGAGAGTCATAGTTACTCCCGCCGTTTACCCGCGCTTGGTTGAATTTCTTCACTTTTACATTCAGAGCACTGGGCAGAAATCAGAGACAGTCAACGCCCGCAAGGGCCATCTGTCTCCTCTGTTTTAATTAGACAGTCGGATTCCCCGAGTCCGTGCCAGTTCTAAGTTGACTGTTTAACGCCGGCCGAAGTATCAATAAACATTCACTTTGTTGAAAAAAAGCAAATGTGATACGCAGCTGTAACGGTCCATAAGACAGTTCGAACACTAGCCGAGTTTCATCAATGAATGCATGATTCATTAATGTTACACTGCATGGATCAAACCGTACTCACTTCACATTACAGCCCGACCGGCCCAGTCCTTAGAGCCAATCCTTATCCCGAAGTTACGGATCTAATTTGCCGACTTCCCTTACCTACATTATTCTATCGACTAGAGGCTGTTCACCTTGGAGACCTGCTGCGGATATGGGTACGATCTGGCACGAAATTCAAATAGCCTCCCTCGGATTTTCATGGATCGAACAAAGCGCACGAGACACCACAGGAACCGTGGCGCTTTACGGAAACAACATCCCTATCTCCGGCTGAACCGATTCCAGGGAGTCCGTTCCTTAACCAGAAAAGAGAACTCTGGCTCGGGCTTTCCTCAATGTTTCCGAGTTCATTTGCGTTACCGCGCTAAATCCTCACGATGAGCATTTATCTCCGTGTCCAGGTACGGGAATATTAACCCGTTTCCCTTTCGATTTATCAGATGGATTACACCTCCATTCCTCTATTTTATTAAAAACGGCATTAGCCAATATCTTAGGATCGACTGACCCACATTCAACTGCTGTTCACGTGGAACCCTTCTCCACTTCAGTCTTCAAGGATCTCACTTGAATATTTGCTACTACCACCAAGATCTGCACCAATGGAAGCTCCAACTGGGCCTACGCCCAAAGTCTTCAACGCTAACCATTGCGACCCTCTTACTCGTTGCGGCCAGGTTTCCCATTTCTTTCTTTCTTTTTTTCAAATTTTTTAACACAAGCCATGCAACGGTTGAGTATAAGTCTCCCGCTCAAGCGCCATCCATTTTCAGGGCTAGTTGATTCGGCAGGTGAGTTGTTACACACTCCTTAGCGGTTTCCAACTTCCATGGCCACCGTCCTGCTGTCTATATCAACCAACGCCTTTCATGGGGTCTCATGAGCGGAAAGTTTGGCACTTTAACTCAACGTTTGGTTCATCCCACAGCGCCAGTTCTGCTTACCAAAAATGGCCCACTTGGAGCACACATTCAATGTCTACGCTTCATTTAAGCAAGCAAGACGTCATACTCATTGAAAGTTTGAGAATAGGTTGAAGACGTTTCGTCCCACAATTCCTCTAATCATTCGCTTTACCGAATATAACTGCTTCATTACGTACTCCAGCTATCCTGAGGGAAACTTCAGAGGGAACCAGCTACTAGATAGTTCGATTAGTCTTTCGCCCCTATACCAAAGTCAGACGATCGATTTGCACGTCAGAATCGCTTCGGACCTCCACCAGAGTTTCCTCTGGCTTCATCCTGCTCAGGTATAGTTCACCATCTTTCGGGTCCCAGCATATACGCTCTACCTCCGCCCTATTGCATGCAATATGAACGGGGTTATGTTACGCTATATATAATATATGCATACTTTTACATATACATATAATATATAGATCACATATCAATTATACCAAAGATAATCTTTACTTTCATTATGCTTTTATAATCAGGTTTACTACCCAATAACTTGCGTATATGCTAGACTCCTTGGTCCGTGTTTCAAGACGGGTCAGATAGGTGATTAACGTTCACATCGAGATGTAACTTTTAATAATGCATACAATATTATAATATTACCAATTATTTCATCAACATTTACCGATAAAGTCGCATGCGACCACATGTAAATGTAATTAGCAAAAATTATAATCGATGCATGTCACTATTATTTCAAGTGAAAGTTACACATATGGGATTAAAACTTCATTTAAGACATATTTCAATAGATTTAGGGTTTCAATTATCAATTGAAATAATTGATCCACTAAATTAGCTATATTAATATGCTAAAACGAAGCTCTCGATGCATACCATCGATAAATACACCAATCATTATATTATAAATTTAGCATTCATATCTTAAATATCATTTTATTCATTAATAAAAAAATATTAATGAATAATAAATCAATTAAGATTGCTAAATTGATTGGTTGAATACCGATAAGTTTCGTTAACTCTATCCGTTTCCATCTCAGCGGTTTCACGCCCTCTTGAACTCTCTCTTCAAAGTTCTTTGCAACTTTCCCTCACGGTACTTGTTTGCTATCGGTCTCGTGGTCGTATTTAGCCTTAGATGAGGTTTACCACCCTCTTTGGGCTGCAATCTCAAACAACCCGACTCCAAGGAATAACCTACCGTAACTTTTTTCACCCGTACAGGTCTAGCACCTTCTATGGACTGTAGCCCCGCTCAAGGGGACTTTGGGTGTAAAAATATGTTACGGATAGTTACACCTATACGCTACATTTCCATATAGACAAATATCTATTGGATTCAGCGTTGGGCTTTTTCCTTTTCACTCGCCGTTACTAAGGAAATCCTCGTTAGTTTCTTTTCCTCCGCTTAGTTATATGCTTAAATTCAGCGGGTAATCACGACTGAGTTGAGGTCAAAGAAATGATAGAAAACATATTATATTTGATTGGATCAATCATTTCATCATTCATTATCTATCCTTATTTATTCCTTTTATCATGAAACAAAAAGCAATAAATGAATCAATCATTATAATGAATATAAAATGATGATAGATAATTGACATCTTCCCTTGCTTATATATATATATATGAAAGATGCAATTATATATTTATAATATGTTTAAAATTATAAGTAAGTAAAATATATGTATTTCTATTTTACTCCTTATTTTTTTTTTTTTTGTACAACTTATCAGGGGATTTCAAGATTACTCTCTTCTTTTAAAATCACCTGATGAATAAAATAATTCGAATCAAATAATCTTTTATCAAACAAACAAAATATTCGCATCAAATTTGAATGTTTGAATGAATTATTTGATAAATTATATCGTCTTATTTATTGACCCTCAACCAGACGTACCATCGGGAATCAACCCGATGGTGCAATGTGCGTTCGAAATCTTTGTGCTCAATGCGTCTGCAATTCGCACTATTTATCGCAGCTAGCTGCGTTCTTCATCGATCCACGAGCCAAGTGATCCACCGCTAAGAGTTAAAAAATATTATTTTGGAAAAAATACAAATAATAATATATATGTGTATGTGTGTGTTTTTTGTTGGTAGCATATCTAGCTAAAATGCTTATTAAGTCTACTTAATTAATGATATCATTAATTAAGCTATCGCTTTATCTTCATTGTTATCGACGGTTAGGCGATAACTTGGATAAAGTATAGACACCAACGAATATCACCGTTTCTTCATCATATATCATCATCAATATTATATATTAACTATTATTAATCTATTATTAGTAAATGAATACTAATAATATATATGTATAATAATAATTATGATGATGATGATAAATAATCGTTATTTTGTTGTTTTTGAAGCTCGATAATGATCCTTCCGCAGGTTCACCTACGGAAACCTTGTTACGACTTTTGCCCGGTTCAAGCCACTGCGATTAAAGCGGTTTCCACCAAAGAATCTCCACCTCGAAAGGTATCAAAACAGCAGTCTCCGCTTTTCTCGAAACGGCTCAGTCCCGGGCAGCGACGGGCGGTGTGTACAAAGGGCAGGGACGTAATCAACGTGAGCTGATGACTCACACTTACTAGGAATTCCTCGTTCAAGGGAAATAATTGCAATTCCCGATCCCGATCACGGAGGATTTTCAAGGGGTTACCAGTACCTTTCGGTAATGGTTACAGCACGCTGATTCCTCCAGTGTAGCGCGCGTGCAGCCCTGGACATCTAAGGGCATCACAGACCTGTTATTGCTCAACTTCATGCGGCTAAACACCGCTTGTCCCTCTAAGAAGTTGTCTGGACAAAATTATCCAGTAACTATTTAGTAGGCTAGAGTCTCGCTCGTTATCGGAATAAACCAGACAAATCACTCCACCAACTAAGAACGGCCATGCACCACCAACCACCGAATCATGAAAGAGCTCTCAATCTGTCAATCCTCACGGTGTCCGGGCCAGGTGAGTTTTCCCGTGTTGAGTCAAATTAAGCCGCAGGCTCCACTCCTGGTGGTGCCCTTCCGTCAATTTCTTTAAGTTTCAGCTTTGCAACCATACTTCCCCCGGAACCGAAAAACTTTCGTTTCCGGGAAGCTGCCCGTCAAGGCGTATTTACCGCCGACGGAACGCTAGTTGGTATCGTTTACGGTCAGAACTAGGGCGGTATCTGATCGCCTTCGAACCTCTGACTTTCGTTCTTGATTAATGAAGACATTCTTGGCAAATGCTTTCGCAGTCGTACGTCTCGCTACGGTCCAAGAATTTCACCTCTCACGCAGCGATACGAATGCCCCCGTCCGTCCCTCTTAACCATTATCTCAGATCAGAAAACCAACAAAATAGAACCGAGATCCTATTTCATTATTCCATGCACGAGTATTCAGGCATTAGCCCGCATTGAGCACTCTAATTTTTTCAAGGTAAACTTGCTAGCCACCATACGCAACCGATCAAGGTAACGTAGGGAAAACTGGCAATATTAGCCTAGGAGCCCAGTTCTCATCCAATGGATGGACCAGGTCCTGAGACGCAGATCCAACTACGAGCTTTTTAACCGCAGCAATGACGATATACACTTTGAGAGCTGGAATTACCGCGGCTGCTGGCACCAGACTTGCCCTCTCATAGATCCTCGTTAACGGGTTTAAATTGTACCCATTCCGATAACCGGCCTCAAAGAGAACGGTCTCGTTATTTTTCGTCACTACCTCCTCATTCTGAGAGTGGGTAATTTGCGCGCCTGCTGCCTTCCTTGGATGTGGTAGCCGTTTCTCAGGCTCCCTCTCCGGAGTCGAACCCTTATTCTCCGTTACCCGTTACAACCATGGTAGGCACATAAACTACCATCGAAAGTTGATAAGGCAGACACTTGATAGATACGTCGCCGGTACAAGACCATGCGATCAGCCATAGCTATTCAGAGTCACCAATTAACGGGCTAATAACCCGATTGGTTTTAATCTAATAGATGCGCTCGTTCAAAAGTCGGAGCTTTGGTGCATGTATTAGCTCTAGAATTGCCACAGTTATCCACGTTGGATAATCAACATCAAGTACATTATAGCTGTTATAATGAGCCGTTCGCGGTTTCACCATTATAGGTTTATTTGAACTTAGACATGCATGGCTTAGCCTTTGAGACAAGCATATAACCGCCGACAGAATCAATCGGGGAGATGTTTGAAAAGAACAAAAACACATTAGCATGATATATTAAAAGTAAGAAATCATTTCTTATTTAATATATCATTGTGTCATGCATTCATCCATCTATCATATATTCTTTCATTTATTTCATTTCCTTCGCTTATCAACAAATCTTAATGAAATTAAGATTTTTCATTTTCAATACAATAGAAATACGACAAAACTTCCCAATATACAACGGAGCATTCGGTTCATATAACCTTTTATTGTATGTCACAAATACATACATTACACACGCTCACATAATCCTATGTAACGGTGTTAATTTATTGATTGCTCGTCTGTTGAGACTTTCGTCCCACGAGACAATTCATTGCTCAAGCTAGACGAAGAGACTTCGACTAACATTCTATAACAAATTCGTTCTCTATCAACGTTACAGAATTTTCATTCTTGTTGTCATGATTTATTTTATAGTATATATACATATATGCAAAGAATGATATTTTATAGTATATATATATATATATAAAGAATGGTATAGTATATATATATAAGATTTTCATGTACACTATGAAATTTTTGTCATATATATATATATATATATATATATATATATATATATATACTAATAATATATATATATATA